ATTATTATTTGACAGGTAGAGTTATAGGCAGTGAGAGAGACAGAGAGAAAGGTCTTCCTTCTGTTGGTTCACCCCAAAAGGCCGCCACAGCCGGTGCTGCTCTGATCAGAAGCCAGGGGCCAGGTGCTTCTTCCTGGTCTCCCATGCAGGTGCAGGGCCCAAGCACTTGGGCCATCTTCCACTGCACTCCCAGGCCACAGCAGAGAGCTGGACTGGAAGAGGAACAACCGGGACTAGAACCGGGCGCCCATATGGGATGCCAGCGCTGCAGGCGGAGGATTAACCAGGTGAGCCACAGCGCAGGCCCTGTCTAGTGAGCTCTTTTCTATTGATGGTGCAGAGCTCAGTGCAGGGGACAAGAGACAGGCATCACGGAAAAGCCTTCCGGGAAGGGCCTGGGCTCTTGTCTCTTGGCCCTGGGGTGCATGTGAGATGCTGGCTCCTTTTCCTGGAGTTCCCAGCTCTGCCTCTACTGGGCGTGGGAGATGCAGTCTTTGCTGACAACTTCTAGCCCACCTGTCGCTGTTTCTGCACTCGAGGGTCACCTCCAACCTCATTCCTTCTACCGTGCCTGCCAGGAGACCCTGTTGGCTGGAGATCTTGTCAAGACAAAACCAAACCTGCTGCCTTCCCTAGGTCTGCCTGGTGCATAGAACTTTGCCTGCATCTTCTCTTTGCCTTGGGTAGAAGCCCCACTTGCTCTCATTCGCCCCTTGCTCTTTCTGCCTCCTGCCTCAAGCTTTATTTAGGCAGTCTTAGAATTCTCTGGATAAATGTCAGGCCCACTCCAGGGGATTCACAGCAGCCTCTCTCAAGGGCTGCTTCTTACCGTTGATAGCAGCACCAGACCCAGATTTCAGCAGCCCTGCACATCTGGTCAGAGGGCTGAGGTCCTGCTCTCTCCATGGGAGATACCCTCTCTGTATATGAGGTTCTCTCAGACCTCCCCTCCCCCATGTGTCTTTGGCTGGGCTAGGGAGCTGTCTGCCTGCCCCTGGAGCCCAAGGGTCAGACAGAGCAGGGCTGCTGGCAATGCTCCCTCCCATCATACTCTACCCATCACCCCTCACCTGTGTCTTCACACTTGTGTGTATGTGTGTTTGAGACCCTCCTAAAGGATTGTGAAAAACTTGGATGTAGTGTCTAAAGTATTTTTTCAGTTGACTTCTAACATTTTTCATCACAAGTCCAAGTAGTCACAAAGGGCGTGACTCCTGGTAGAATGAAGGTGACATAATATCTACATTTCAAATATTTTTCATCAGAATCTTGAAGCAGTCAATTTGGGCCATTCAATTTGTGAAAAAAAATCTACCATATTACATAATTGGCAAAAACCAAGCAGCTAAGTCAGAACTTTCTGTGCGAAGAGGAAAATCCCAACTTTGCTTTTCAGTTTGAATGAATGTGTTTGTAGTGTCCCCAGCCACCCGCCATTCTCGTCCCAAGGTGGACAGGCAAGTAGGGAAGGCAACAGGGTTTCGTAATGAGCTTGTCACATGTATTTAATGCTTCTTGCTTGCCTTGTCATTGGTCTCCTTCTTGGGGTCCTGTGTTCGGTGCCCGGAGGATTTTGCAGCCGAGAGATTCAGCCCAGACACGTGCAAGGTGGGGGAAAGCTGTCCTTGTTTTGTGGGAACACTGGGAACCACCAGTGTGTGCTCAGACAGATAGTATTTAGGAAAGGATGTTTAAGGCAAGGGAGCTGAACAGTGATGTCCTGAGGCTCCCTGCCCTGTGTATCCTTGGGAAAATCTCTCTTGACTTCACAGTGGTTGTCTGTGGTGGCCCCCGCTCCATAACTTTTGCACAGGTGGTCTGCCTCCCCTCATTAGTGTGTGGGTGTGCTCACACCCTCCACCTCATCAGAGGCAGCAGTGACAGGCATGTCCCATCAGAGCATCCTGCCTGATTCACACAGGGCTTTGTGCACGGTGGGCTGGCCAGGGTCCCGTCTCGGCCCAGAGTCAGCCCCTCGGCCCCTGCTGCCGCTGTCCCTGCCTGCTGCCCCTCCCTGTGTGGGAAGGGGTGTGACGGGGAATTCTGGGCTGAGCAGCCACTTCCGTGTGGCCAGAGCTTTGGTGTGGGCGGCAGTGGGAGACACAGCTGGCCGGCAGGGGCTGGGGGGCCCCTCTAGGGATGAGGCCTGAGCCAGGGCAGAGTGTGTCAGCCAAGTGGAATCCCCATGGCCCCATTTGCAAAGCCATTTGCAGGGCTGAGCTGTTCCTTTGTCTGCGCCCAAGGCCCCCCACTTGCGGCCGTGGCCTGGGAAAATGTGTGCAGTCAGGGCCATGGGGGCCTGGCAGAGCAGCACGAGTGGGGCCGGCAGCTGTGCTGCACTGAGCCTCCAAGGACTCAGGGTGTCTGGCCCATCACCAACCTTATGCGGAAGTTAGCCCCTGCCTTGGCGGGTGGAGGAGATCCCAGGACACAAAGATGTACTTGATCCAAGCATCTCCCACACTGGCCTATCCTGGTGCCTGGCAGCCCACCATCAGAGGGAGCGGGAGAGAAGCAGCCTCGGGCTCCCCTCCTGTAGTCTTCAAATACTTGGGTGGTGTTCTGGCCGAGCCCCCAAACCCCTTTAAGCCTCAATTGTCTCTCTCTGTTAAATGGGGCTGGGGACTAGGGTGGAAGGGATGAAATGAGAGCAGGAATGGGAAGTGCTTGGCTCACAGTCTGCAGCCAGTGGGGTCCTGTTTCCGGGGCTGACTTGCCTGCTGTGCCCTCTGACCTCTGGGGAGTACCCCCACCCTGAGTGCTGGCCTCTTGCCTTCCTGGTCAGAGCTCCTGGTGCCTGTGCTGTGCCCTCTGACCACAGGTGCCGATATGCAAGCTGCCCAAGCCTCCCACATCAGGGGAGGGGAGGGAGTGCAGATTTGCCTTCTTGGGATTTGGAGTAAAGAGACGGGGGAAGGAGCTGAACTGCAGAGAATGGAGAACAGGAGGGAAGACGCTAAAGCCCCAGGTCCCCCTGCTGGGCTTGCGCCTCTCATGGACTCCTGTGGTGATTGTCAACCTTTAGGTGATTGTCAACTTGTAATAATGCCAATTCCTGGTCTCCACCTTGAAAACCGGGTGCGAGAGGGCAGGCTCTGGGCTGGGACCACTCCCTGGAAGCCTTCACTTCTGGTCCCATAGTGTTTTATAGTGGACCCCATCCTTCACTTCTGGCCCCATAGTGTTCTCAGCAGATCCCGATGTTAGCCGGGGAAGGGCGGGTGATCCACACAGGACTGTCCTCCAGAAATCCCGCCTTTTATAGTGGACCCCATCCCTGAATGGGGAGCAGAATTCTGCAATTCAGGGCAGTGCCGGGGTTTTAAAGGCTGGAGGAGGCAGCGAGCAGAGCCATCGTCCCCGAGGTCTCAGTGCTGGCTTCTCTGGGTCCTGCAAGGTGGTGGCTGAGTGGCTCAGCTCTTTGCTGGGGACAGGATCAGTGCTTACCCGGCTGTAGTGCTGGCTGAGCTCTGCTCTGACTACACAGAGCTCTGGCAGGGAGACAGTCACTGGAAAGGCTAGCTGTCACAGGCTCAGCTCCGTGGACTCTCCGGAGTGCTGAGAATGTCCCTTACCCATTTTCCTTCTCTCTTCTTCCAGGGCTAGATCAAATGCCTCCTCCTGGAAGCCTTCCCTAGTTCTCTTTCCTCTAAAGCCCTCTTGTGTCCGAGTTTCCCAGGGAGGTCATTGCGGTTCTGTCTGAGGGCACTTCTGCATCTCTGCTGTCCCCAGTCTCCCTGTCCTGGGTTAGCACCGAGAAGTCTCTCTGTGCTGGGAGGTTGGGTAATTGTGCAACGACTAACAGCTTGACTTTGAGGTGGGGATTTGGTGCTGCAGTCAAGATGCTGCTTGAAGCCAGCACCGTGGCTCACTAGGCTAATCCTCCGCCTTGCAGCTCTGGCACCCTGGGTTCTAGTCCCGGTCGGGGCGCCAGATTCTATGCCAGTTGCCCCTCTTCCAGGCCAGCTCTCTGCTGTGGCCAGGGAGTGCAGTGGAGGATGGCCCAGGTGCTTGGGCCCTGCACCCCGTGGGAGACCAGGAGAAGCATCTGGCTCCTGCCATCGGATCAGCGCGGTGCGCCAGCCGCAGCGCGCCGGCCACGGTGGCCATTGGAGGGTGAACCAACGGCAATGGAAGACCTTTCTCTCTCTCTCTCTCTCTCTCACTGTCCACTCTGCCTGTCAAAAAAAAAAAAGATGCTGCTTGAAATACCTTCATCCCATATCCCAGTGCCGGGGCTCAGGTGCTGGCTCTGCTTCTCATTGAAGCGTCCTGCTGATGCACACCTTGGGAGGCAGCAGGTGATGACTCAAGTGATTGGGTCCCCGCCACCCACCTGGGAGACCTGATGTGAGTTCCAGGCTTCTGCCTTCAGCCTGGCCCAGCCCTGGCTTTTATGGCCACTAGGAGAAAGAATCAGTGGATGGAAGATCTCTCTGTTTCTCTCTATCACTCTGCCTTTCAAATAAATACACACTCCAGAAAGAGAGCTCAGCTTTGGGAGCTGAGAGAACGAGACTCAAACCCCCATTTGCTTTTGTGAAACGCCTGGGAAAGCATGAACCTTGTGGAGCCCCAGTTTCCCCTCTTGACAAGTAGAGATCATGATAATTCTGACCCCACAGGTTTTGTTGGGAGGATTAAGAGATAAAGCGACAGGGTCGGCACTGTGGCGTAGCAGGTAAAACCGCCGCCTGCAGTGCTGGCATCCCATATGGGTGCCAGTTTGAGTCCTAGCTGCTCCACGTCTGATCCAGCTCCCTGCTAATGGCCTGGGAAAGCAGTGGAAGATGGCCCAAGTCCTTGTGCCCCTGCACCCAGGTGGCAGAGCTGGAAGAAGCTTCTGGCTCCTGCCTTCAGATCGGCGCAGCTTCAGCCATTGTGGCCAACTGAGGAGTGAACCAGAAGATGGAAGACCTCTTTCTCTAATCGTTACAAAGAATCAGAGCTTTACTCATAGAACTTAGAACATACTTGGAACTCGATCTATGCAACTCACATTATGATCATTGATGCCTCATCCTCCTCCAGTGTCACATTCTAGGAACGTGGGTAAAGAAGAGACCTCTTGTGCACTGGACAACTTCTGTGACAGTGTTGTCATGGAGATATGGCTGGGGGCTCAGAAGGCTGGCCAGGGGTGCTCTTCCCAGGTCGAGCTGAGCTGCAGGGCAGGGGCGGCCTCTGTCAGAGCGGGAGAATGGCGGCTATGACTCTGTACGGGTGCACAGCTTTCTGCTGAGGGAAAGGAAGACAGACATTCCAGGTGGAGAGAACATAAAAGAAGGGAACTCTGCTAGGAAGGAAGCTCCCAGCTACACCAGAGGAGGAGAAAGGGTTCAGGAAGGGGCTGATTAAGCCATTTGGGGGAATGGCTCCCCATCTCCACTACTGGAACATGAAAGATAACCCCTCCAATGTCAAGGATGCCATGCACCTGACCCTGGGAAGGCTGGCACAGGAGCCCTGGGGGCGTGCCAGGCATGACTCAGGGAATCCAGGGCAGACAGGAAGAGAAGCTACATAGAGTGACAGTCCCTCAGCTGGCAGCTGCGCCATGAAAGGTCCCCATGTGCAAGAAGCAAGATTCTCTGCCCAATGCCCTGACAAACCGACAAATAGAAGACCATCTATGGAGGTGAGACGATTTGCAGTGATGGGGACATGTGGAGTCTCGGGTCCCACCAGGGGAACTGGTGTTAAAGCTCCCACTTTGCTGATCTGCGGGCCTACAGGCGAAGACCATGTCAGCCAGGAAGTCAGCTGCAGTCATTTGCAGTCAGACACACACACACACACATACACGTCAGCCAGCAGGAGGAGACAGGGCCCTCAGCAGCCCCAAAGCGTGTCTTATTATTAAAACTCATACATCACACACTGCAGCAAATATCCAGCGTGGGGGAATTGGAATCCTTCAGCGTGGACCAGATCCATCACCTTCTAAATCAGGTACATCAGCCCGTGAATCAAATGCATCACCTTTGGATGCGATGGACTCCCAGGCGGATTAGATGCATCACCTATTGAATCAAACACTACTCTGATTGAATCAGAAACTGCCCCTCACGTAGTAAATCATCTAAATATTACCCACATTACAAGCGTGCAACGGCTGCCGCACCAATACGTTTTAACAGACGACATGTTAAAGCCGCTATAACATTAAGCAATTACCTGCAGAGACGAACTCAATATATCCGTCACTGAAGCAGAAATCCCCGCCCAGATGCATGGGCTTGCCTTTGCCTCTGTCCTCACAGAGCCCTTCTCGTCAGGCTCCTGTGGACAGGAGGCAGGTGGGAGGCCTGCAGACCCCTGATCACGTGAAACCCGAGGCAGAAGACACGTTCTGCTTAACCTGCGTGGTCCTTAGACAACAGTGAAGTTTCCAAAGTCGTAAAATTCATGGTGAGAACTTGGATTTGGGGCTCTCCTTAACAAAGTGAGATTTGGCAGTGATTGGCCTGTGTGTTCACTCTCATCTAAATCTCATGATAGTGACTAATGCTAGGTTTGGTCTCCAAGGCAGTTCTGTATCACCTCCTTTGGTGGGCACAGAGAGGGCAAGTGACTTGTGAAATGACACAGCTGGTCAGTGGTGGAGGCAGGTGCACAGCAGCTAGTTTAGACGGGTAGGGTGGAGCAGTGACTGCTCCAAGTACTGAAAGAGGATGCATAACCCAGTTCACCTTGACCCCAGCCATCCTGCCATTGTCCTCTTGACAATGAGGCCAAGCATGGGGAGCCTTTAGCAAATGGGTTTCCATCCACCTGTTTCCCTCTGGGCCGTGGCCTACCTGACCCTTGAGGCCATTTGCATCCATGACCCCAGCTTCAGGTGGCAGCTTGGGTGTGTGCCTCTAGCCTGTGCAGAAGAGGTGCCCCCACCTTCTGCCTTGGGGCAAACCTTGGGGACCCTTTGCTGGTCCACAATGGCTCCTGCATCCGTGAAAAAGTGAAAATTCTCCCACAAAACCCCACTGTATGGTGCATCTGGTTTTCAAATGGTGGGTCTTGACCCGTTAGCTGGTTGTGAAATCAATTTAGTGGGTTGAGGCCAGAATACAGAAAGTCAGTAGACTAGAATGAAAGCGAAGCTATCAGACTACATTAGAGATAGGACTGATACGTACGGTTCATGAAGCCTGTTTCATTCATGTGGATCCAATTTATTCTTCCTGTGGGTCAGGATGACAATTGCTTGAAAGCGACTGCCACATATCAAATGGGAGGACAGATCCCCCTATCTCCAGGAAACAGGAAGTGTGGTTATCGGCTGCAGGTGAGGGTAGAGGCGAAAGGAGGTTTTAGAAGAGAAAATGGGCTTGAAATCATCATTAGGGAATGAGGGAGAACAAACAGATTAGAGAACAACGATAAGACTGCCTGCTTAAAGTTGCAGGCTGTGGTGTTCCTTAGATCCCTCCGGGATCCCTGGAGAGGTACAGGCATGGAGCAGGTGGACAGGTGCATTTAACCAAAGCTGGGCTTGGGCCAGGTGAGTCAACAGAGAAGGAGAAGGGTGAGGGGGCTGAGGAAGCAGAGGCGAGCATGTGCGGGTGGGCCCTGCTATCCAGGTAGAGCAGGGAGGGGGGTGAGGACAGGGCCAGGGTGCAGGTGGTGAGGGACGGCGGGCCCCATGTGCTGGAAGCCTCGCTCTGGATGATGGATGATAGTGGGAAAGAGCTGAAAATAAGTAGTGGTCAGAGAATAGGGCGCTTGACGTTGGGGTTATTTATGTTGGCAGCCTCTGACATGATGGACAGCAGGAGCAGGCCGGGCAGGGGCCAGACACAGTGAGGGGTCAGATGACCGACCGCCAGACCACAGGGTCTCTCTCCAGAGACGGCTCTCAGAGTTTGGGGAATTCTTCCCCCTTTCTTAGACCTGTGTTCAGTCTAGGCCAGTTTTGACTTCCTAAAAATAAACACTAAAAAAAAGCAGCAGGGTTTTTGAAACCCTGCTCTTGTCTTTCTTCTTTCTTTAATGTACCAGGAGCCTAAGCCTCCACTTCCCCCAAGAAGCCCTTCTCCGGGCCGCATCATGGTCAGTGCACCACTGCAGGCTCAGAGGAACAGCATCCCCTCTGGGCCTAACCAGACAGGCCCCTGTCTGTCAGGAGCCATCTCTGTGCGCCTGTTCCCCACCCCCACTTCCCCGGCCTTTGGACTATAAACAATCCAAGTAAAGCAGAGGTGACAGCTCTGCATTGCATGGTCTTTGCATGTCACCTGGCTCTGGAAAGGCTTAGTAGAGATGACAGGTGAGTTTACGAGACAGAGCCTGTGAGAGACCAGACTCCAGGCCCCTGGAAGCTTGGCAGCATCCTGAGGCTCTGTCGGGGCTGCCCTGCAGGCCCCTGGGTGCTTTGCTGCCAACCATAAGGTCACAGAGTGCAGCATCCAGAACACAAGTCCAGCCCGAAGCCTCCCCTGCCTGACCAAGAAGCAAAGGAAAAGACACCTGCCATTCTGAGGGGGCTCTGCAGACCTGTGGCGACTGCCGGCTGTGCAGGCTACAGAGCTGGGCTTCTCCTCCTGCAGCCAGCGGATGCTGGGTGCTTCCCATGCTTGCTGTCCCCTCTGTGGAAGGATCTGGTTGAGAGGGCAGGGGGCACTCTCTAGGGAAGTACCCTCCTCCCTGGCCACCGCTTTTCTAGCTCCCCATGGGTGTACTTTGCATGATGGGTTCCTGCAGAGCTGCTGTCTCTCTGCACAGGCCCTTCCCTCTCACTGGGAAGGGGTCTTTCCCAGGAAGGGCGACGTCTCAGTGCTTTCCATGCAGGAGAGCCTCTGTAAGCTTCACAACTCTTTAGTGGCTCATTGGCTGTGACCAGGCACTGATACGATGCTTGACAAGAGACAAATTGGTCCAGAAGTGGCCATGAGTGAAAAGGTGCAAATCCTTCGTAACAGCAGCACCTGCATGCTTGCAAAAGCAACTCTGCAAAGAGCAAAGCATCCATGGTCCTGTCTGGATGCTGTTGCAGGTGTCAGGCACGGTAGCCCTCTAATGATTAGGCCCAAGCCTAGAAACTTCGCTGGGAATAAGGGACAGCCTATTGAAGCACTTTAACTTTTTACTTTCTTTACTACTTGACATTGCTCCCAGGCAAAGGAAGTCAAGGGACCCTGTGTTTTTGGGCTGGGGGAACACTAGGGAGCCACGTCTGTCCCCTTGCACATTTCTGAAGGATACAAGCTGGGCGTGACTGGGACGGTCTGTGTAAGTCTGAGCTCTGCTGCCTTATTCCCAGGTGCACTGAGGAATGCTTGTGGCTGGGGCTGGAGGCAGGGCCCATGGAAAGCCTTGGGAAGCTGCCCCTTAGGTGCAGCATCATGACAGAGGCCTTGGGCGTTCAGGCCTCTCACAGGCAGAGGCTTAGGATGTGCAGTCTGGCTGTCTTGTGGGCTGCCCTGGGAGCTCTGGCTTTTGCTAGGGGGCTGCTCAGTCTTGGCATTGGCCTTGGGCTGGGTCTGGGCCTCAGTCCGGAGCTGCTCCAACTCCAAGGAAGCCTTTGGAGGGGTTGCTTCTGGAAACTTGCAAATGTGTGCAGGGCGCACACTCCAGATGCACTCTCTGGCGAACAGCACAGTGACAGGCAGTAGGGAGAGCAGACAAACAGCGGTGGCCTGACCCTCAGGGAGGCAGAGGGCAGAAGTAGGTGACAGGGTCTCTGGCCAACACCAGTGATGGGGAAAGAGACACAGACAGCAACCTGCCCATCATCCTAATAATTGAACTTGCTGCACTCAGGCCTAGTCTAAGTGCTTCTCATGCATTATTTTATTCAAACTGTGCTCAGTGCTCCGCTTTTCATTTCTACCTTTAGCTTGTCCCCATTTCATATGGTGGAGAAAACTGAGGATCGAATGTCATTCACTTGCCTAACTAAGATCCCTGAGTTAGCAGAGTGGCAGAATCTGGATTTAAATCCAAACTTGTCTGACTCTCCAGGGTGTGCACTTCAAGATGCAGGCAATGAGTGCAACTGTGTGGTCAGACCCAGGGCCGCCATGCGGAGGCTGGGAAGGGAGTGTGGGCCGGCTCTGACTAATGCCCAGGAGGTGAGCATTCAGCTCCACTTCCCACAGCACACGCCCCACCCTGAACACACTCCGTTTCTACCTGGAAAAAGGGACTCATGCCTGCGAGTGCCTGGAAATGGCTCAGGTTGGTTCTGGGCAAAGAGGCAACTGGCACTTTTGGTGTCAAAGCACTGGTTTTGGCTGCAGCTGCTGCAGCTGGAGGCCGGGGAGGGGGCTGCCCACAGACCTCCCAGTGCTGTGCAGCCCCTGCCCTCCTCCTTGCCTTGTCCTGCTTGCCCTCTGCCATCAGCAGCCCACCAGCCCACACACTCAGCTGACAGCCTGAACTTTTCTGCCCAAAGTAGCCTTTGGTGCCTGAGGCTCCTGGAGATTCTCAAAGGTCAGGAGAAAGAGATGCTGCCCTGGGCTCCTTCTCACCAGGTAGAAAGATTCCTGCCTTTGTACTCACGGAGCCTTCCAAGCACTTGATCGGATAGACCTTAAAAGACACTCTGGGGCTGGCACTGTGGTGTAGCTGGTAAAAAGCCCTGGTCTGCTGTGCCGGCATCCCATGTGGGTGCCAATTTGAGTCCCAGCTGCTCCACTTCCAATCCAGCTCCCTAGTAATGCACTGGGGAAAGCAGTAGAAGGTGGCCCAAGTGCTTGGGCCCCTGCATCCACGTGGGAGACCTGGAAGAAGCTCCTGGCTCCTGTTGCAGCCATTTGGGGAGTGAACCAGCAGATGGAAGGCCTCTCTCTCTGTGTCTACCTCTCTCTCTGTAACTCTGCCTTTCAAATAAATAAAATAAATCTTTAAAAGAAGTCTGCCCCCATAACACACAAAAACAAACAAACAAAACAAAACAAAAAGACACCCTGGCCTGACCTCAAATGCCCACTTGTGACATGTTGGTAAGTTAAGTAGTTTTCAAATTTTCCTTAGCTGCAGGATTTTTTAAAGATTTATTTTATTTATCTGAAAGGCAGATTTACAGAGGGAGAAAGAGAGAATCTTCCATCTATTGGTTCATTTACCAGATGGCCACAATGGCCAGGGCTAGGCCAAACCAAAGCCAGGAGCCAGGAGCTTCTTCCAGGGATCCCACATGGGCAGCAGGGGCCCAAGCATTTGAGCTATCTTCCACTGTTTTCCCAGGCAAATTAACAGGGAGCTGGACCACAACTGGAGCAGCTGGACCCTGAACCAGTTCCCATATGGGATGATGGCATTGAAGGTGGTGGCTTTATCTTCTATATCACAACACCAGCCAGCTAGCTGCAGAATTTTTTAGTCACATAATATCCTATGCAAAACTCAGTCAATAAAGTAGATAAAAGTAGAATGTATCTGATAGGAGAAAGGTATATACTGCAGGACCTGGAATCCTTATCTGCTGGTCCCTGTCTCATGCCAATAGCAGGGCCAAAGCCCTCAACCAGCACTAAACCTGTGGTTTAGTCCAAACTCTTGGATTCCGGAAGGAAAACTACAGGGCTGTATGTGGCTTGTCCCCTATTTCACCAGCCAATTTAGAGCTAGCTAGATTATAGGAAGTGTGGATTCCCAAGTTCATTTTGCAGGGTATGATAACCTAGCTGGAATCCATTAATTATACCCTTTCTTCCCATATGCTAATTGTCAGCTACTGAAAACATAGCTGGAATCAGATAGATGGCTGATTGAAGTTTAAGAAAAAGGTTAGTTACTATGAGCCCTGTTGGCCATGCCCAAGGCATCATGCTCAGGACAGAGGGACAGGAGATCCCCACGGCCACCCTAAGGACTGGGGTGGAGGGTGGGGTGGAAGATATGCCCCAGGGGTTCCTAACAGTGCTTTGCAGGGTGCCAGCACAGCAAACACAGAATGCCTGGGTATGCCGGGCCCCTCCTCCCCAGCCTGAGCTCAGGAGGCCTCCTAGCTTGAGTGCAGTCACGGGGGTGGTAGGACTCAGCTGGCCAGGGCAGGAGGCAAAGGGAGTTCCAGGCAGCACGAAGGCCAAGAAGGGAAAGAGGAAGATGTGTGCTGGAAGTAGACCAGCACCACTAGAGCAGGGAGGCGAGGCAGCCAGAGGCAGGAACAGATGCTGGGACCCCAGAGGCCATATTGGGCGGCGTGGTTTCATCTCATGGCAATAAAGGCAAAGGTTGGAGTGGAGGCGCTGATGGGGGAGAGGGTGCAAACAGAAGCTCATTGAGGACAGTGTCAGCATGGCCTGATTGGGTTCAGAGGAGAGGCCTGGCGTGGGGCTGTTCAGATAGGAATTCCAGAAATGTTTAGGACGCATTTCTGGAAGGTGAGCAATTGGTTTTGGGGGAGGGTGCTGGGGGAGAGGGAGGGACAGAGAATATTAGGCAAGTGATCTAAAGGGCATAGGAGAACAGACCACAGCTAGTCTCTCTCTCTCTTTGAAGTCTGAATGTGGACAAGTCAGGGGGGTTACAGTTGGGGCAAGGACCAGCAGGAGAGGCCCTGCGTGGCCAGTAGGGTCAGCAGGCCCTGCAAGGCCCCACTGCCCATCACTGCCCTGTCCTCCAGCTCACCCACACACCTGGGGAAGCCTTTTCTGATTTAAGGAACTTTCATCCCGGCTCCCCAGCCCCCGCCAGCCATGGTGGGAAGCAGTGGGAAGTTCCCGGCCTGGGATGCTGACATTGCAGGTGGTGGCTTTATCCTCTATGCAACACCGGCCCCCTAGCTGCAGAATTTTTTATTCAAATAATACCTTATGCAAAACTCGGTCAATCAAGTAGATAAAAGTAGAATGGGGGCAAGGCATGTGCCTTGTGCACCCTCTGGGTGTCTCCTGGCCGCTGCTCTCTCTGGTCCAGCGTGGGTGTCTCCTGGGGGCGCCTTCCTCCACGACACCTCTACAGCAGAATACTGTGGCCTGGGCGTCTGGAATCCACAGTGTTTTTGTCTCACGGTCCTGGAGAACAGCGGAGCCATCCAAAGATCAAGGCAGACTTGGTGCCTGCTGGGGCCTGCGTTCTGGTTGGCTGACAGCAGCATTCCCCGGGGCCACCCATGTTGGCGGGGTTGAGAGTGCTCTGTGGGGGCCCTTTCACCCCACATACTAAGCCCAGCCCTGAGACCAGATCACCTGTCCATGGCCTTACACCCACCCCGTGCCCCCAGGCTCCTAACACCCTGGGGATTCAGGGTCAACGCACGCACTGTGGGAACACAGGCATTGCCACCCTAACCTGGAGCAAGCAGAGCCAAAGCAAAGCCAGTCCCAGACCCCTGGATGAGCGGTGTGAAGAGGCTGCCCCACACACCAGCAGCTGGCGCAGGAACTGCACACTAAGGTCACGCTGCCCCCCAGCGCCCTCTCAAAGCAGGGGTTAAACATTTCTTTAAAAACCCTACAGTGCCTCGGAAATCAGCGGAATGGCCCTTCCGTACAGCTCCCAGAGTCCCGGGTGCGCTCGCTGGCTTTCTGATGAGAGCTCACGGTGGATTTTATGGGCAGCGGCATGGGCCAGTGGGCTAAGGACAGGCCAGGGAGTCGGCAAGGACACGGCCCCGGCGCCTGGTGACCGCTTGACTCAAGGCGTGACCTTGGGCTGGTTGCTTAACCTGTTTACACCTTAGTTTCCTTGGCTGAAAAATGGGAGTCCTGATACCGGAGAGCCTCACAGGAGGGCTGTGAGCTGGAGCTAATTGATGGCTCAAGTGCACCCTGGGTGGCTGCAGGGCTGCGAAATGGCTCGGTAATTAGGCAGAGCTGGCAGCCCCGCGCACGGCACTCTTCCCAGGCCCGGGGCCCCGGGCAGCCAGGCCCAGAATCCCTGGCTCAGCTAAATGCCAGCCATTCTCCTGCCCCAGCACGGCCCTGGCAAGCCCCTCCGCAAGGTCGTTCTTCATGGCCTCGGGTGCTGACGCCTCCTCTCTCTCCACTCTGCTTCTAACCTCCTTTTCTGCCAGACCCGGCCTTTTCTGTAGCTGACAGCCTGGAGGCGGCACCAGGCTCTCTGCATGCTGTCACACTGGTGATGCCTGCGTCTTGTCTCACGGGCTCCTCCCTGCAGGGACCTGCTCCCATTGAACAGATGCGGAAACTGAGGCTCAGAGAACTGTGGCACTCGGTGTATGCTCTCACTGGGGCTTGTGCCCATTTAAACCAGATGCCTGCACTGGGCTGAGATGTCAGGAGGGAGCCCAAACCCAGAGCCGCCTGCCTTCAAAGGCTTCCCCCTACAACTCTCCACGGCGTTTCCTGTTGGTGCTGCAGTTCGTGGAGAGCCGTGGGTAGGGATGGAGCAGAGAATCCTCCAGCGGGGGTGCAGGGAAGCTGGATAAGTAATTGACCTCATTGAATCCATTCCTTCCTTTACATTTTATTTATTTGGAATGCAGAGCCACAGAGAGAAAAGGATGGGGGGTGGGGAGAGAGAGAGAGAGCGCGCCCACTTCAATCTGCTGGTTGACTCCCCAAATGCCTACAACAGTAAGGGCTGGGCTGAAGCTGGAAGCTAGGAAGTTGATCTGGGTCTCTCTTGTGTGTGGGGGGTGATGGGAATCCAAGTATTTGAACTATCACCCGCTCACCTGCTGCCTCCCAGGGTGCGGAAGAAAGCAGAAACTGGCCTCAAGCCCAGATTCTCCAATATGGGATATGGGTGCGTTAAACGTTGTCTTAACCGCTGTGCCAATTGCCTGCCCCCTTCCTTCCCACGGATGTCCCTTTTAGCTCTACTATATTCTAATTCTGCATGTATATCATAGATACCTACCTCCTGCTGTTTTGGTAGATAACAGATACCAGTACATCTGCCGCACTGGGCTAGTCTAAACGATCCTGTGGGCAGAGATTGCGCCTTATAGCAGGTTCTCTGTAATGAAATGCACACATAGACCCCGTGTATCCATGCCAGACCCTAAGTTGGGATCTGCCCCCAGGAGCAAAGTGTAGCGAACAAGATATTTGCGTGAGCAGGAGACTCCAGTATGCTGCGGTCCATATTCCTACTCTGTTAGGCTAACCTGGCCAGCTTATCAGTGGGCAGGAACTACAGAGATGGGCCCCAGTAGAGTGCTGCTTGAGAAACCAACTGATTGCCATCAGCCTATCTGGGAACGGAGCAGGTGAAAACAGTCGAGGGTGCCCAAGTATGACGTGGCTCCTATCTTACAGGGAGGTTTGGCTCAGGTGGCTACATCAGCAGGACCTCTATCAAATGAACAGGGGCCTTAGAGCAGGGCTCTCCTCCTGAGACTGAGCAGTGACACTGCATCTGCCCAAGAGAGGCCCTGATGGGTCACAAGGTAACGAACACCACTATCACCAACGTAAGCTGTCAGAGAGGCTGACGCCATCTAATTTTGCGCTACCCAGTTGATGAAGCTGCAAAACGTTTCATCAGACCAGGTGTCAAACCCCCAAAATTCAGCACAGGCCTGGCCATGTTTCCACATTATCAGAGCAGCAGTGACACCTGTGTGTGTCTTCCTGCCCTGCCTCCGCCCCTCTGCTAAGGCTATGCAGGCCAGACAGTGCTTCCTGTCCCTACCAACTACTTCCCTGTTTTCTGCTTCCCAGCCTGAGTAACAATCTTGCAAGAATAACACAGTGACCCATGGGACCAGTGACTATCTCGCCATCCTCAAATCACAAGACCCGCTGCATTGCAGTCCCTCTTTCTCACCTCTGCTCCTGTGCGCTCCCCGGAGAAGCACTGTAGGAACACGAACCTTCCGGAAGTCCCGCCTTCCCAGATGTCCCCCGGTAAATGGGCTCAACGCTCACTTCCTGCCTTTCCAGTGCTGATGGACAGCCCCGGGCTGCTCTGAGGATCCCCATGGGTTACCCTTACATCCCTGAGGGCTCTGGGGAGCACCCAGGAAACGCGGTGAACTCAGACCTCTGCTAAATGCCTTCCCCACCCACCTCTGCCCTCCCCCATCAGATTGGGAACACTCCAGGGACGAGCACTTGGAGCCATGCCTCTTAGATCTCACTTAATCCCGCCAGAAAGTCTACGATATGTGAAAGTGTAAGGCTCAGAGACATTAGGTGCCTTGCTCCAGGTCACAGAGGGGGCAGAACTGGGATTCCAAGGTTCTCTTCTCGTGTCTGCCAGAGAGGCCTCTTGGGGGTAACCCAGCCAGGCTGGTTCCCTGCAGAAGGGCCACATCAGGGCAGCGCAGCTGGTGTCAGAGGGCTGGAGGTCTCCCGGCCTCGGCGGGTAGAGTGAACGCGTAGGACTGACCCCTCTCTCTCCACGTGTGCACGAGCACGGCTTCTCCTACAAAACCCAGGAGCCCGGGGTTAAATTCCAAACCCGTGCTTCCCAGGCCTCATCTGATTCCCCTGCGTGGACCTTGCGGTGTGCACGGCAGGACTGAACTTTTACAAAAACGGACAGAACGTCACAAAAATCTCCCTGTGGAGCCACTGGGAGCCAGGCATAAAAGCAGGTGTGTGAGAGCCGCAGACCTGCTGGTCAGTTCCCGCCAGGGCCTCTGCAACTGCTGCAGAGGCAACCGCAGATGGCGGCCCCCGGGCAGAGCAGCATCCCGCAGCAGCGTCCGCCGCTTGGCCGCCCTCCCGGCCGTCCTTCCCAGAGTGCCCTGTCACGCCTTCATTCTGCTGCAAGTTCCTGCCAAAGAAACACAGGCGGAGAGAGGAAAACCAGGGTCAGTTTAGATGGGGGGTCCACGTGTTCATCCTCCAGGAGTCACTTAGGATACTATGGAATCAGTTTGTGGTTGCTGTGGGAACGCACCCTCACACACACACAGAGGTACAGGAAACAGCAGCTCCGGCCTCCACTTGTGTGTCTGTGAGCTCTCACTAGGAAATGGGGGTGCTCAGAAGAGGCCCGTGCAGAGGAAGGGGCTTGCTTTTCAGCTTTGCCTTCGTTGCAGCCCCGTAGCCTCTCCTGGACTCTTCCTTTCTGTGTCCCTCTTCGCTCCTGCACACGGTGCCCACCCCTTCCTTCCCTGTCTTTCCACATCCCTAAGTGTTCCTCTCCTCTCCCAGCAAGCACTAGCGCTGCAGGAAGCCTCTCACCTGGGCCAGTCACAGGGAAAGTGACTGACGATGCCCTGTGTGCCCTTCCTGGGACTTTTGCGTTTCCAGGGACAAATGGCTGTGAAGGTATAGGGTCCCAGGACTCAAGCGGGAGCCCTCCCCGGCAGAGGGCACCCACAGGAGGGCTGCTGACACACTCCATCACCCAAGGGCCTCTCAGGGTGTTGGGTCTTGTAAGCCACCCCTTGGAGTCACCCCAAAGCCTGATGGAGAGAAGTCTTTAACACTGGTTCCTGCTTCGCATTCCAAATAGCCCCCTGCCCCAGCACCCACCAAAAGAGGCACACTGAGAAAGGGCATGGGCCCGGCTGTCACTGGCTGTGTTTGTGGAGACCTCGCCGGTTGACTTGACAGGGGGCCATCTAGCACGGCAGCCCCTGCCCCTGGAGGTGCCCAAGCCGGGGTTAGAGGCCTCCGCCTGACAAACAGCACTGTGGCAGCAGCGAAAGGGCAGAGGGAAGGCGAGCCCGAGACGCTGAGCGGAGCTGACAGCAGGGACATGCCTTCGCCCTTTCCCTCCAGAGTGACTGGGGCCTGGAATTTGAAAGCCCCCGTGTGTGACACGGCCTGACCGCCTGACCTTTGCCGTGTGGGTGATGGGAACGGGTGAAATGACACAAGATACTGCTCAGACTGAGGGAGGCCCTGATGTGGACAGGTCACTCCATCTCATTAGGTGCTCACGGGTGATATCAGCAGAATAGCTCACCTCTCAGAACATCAGACTTTCCTTCTGGGAATTAGAGATGAGGGTCATGGCCAAGGTCATCAGATGTAAGTGACAGACCAGGACTAGAATCTAGATCTTTTAGCTCTGAAGGCTCATCCCACTGGTTTTTCCAGAGGTGTGAAAAATTATCCCAAATGTCAATGCAAAGTTCAGTAGCAAATAGGTGCAGGCCTCAGATGCAGAGACAGTCCCCCACTTCAATCCTGTCCCAGTGTATAATTACTGATGCCCACGGCACAGTGAATGACCCAGGCTAGCAGCTTACCTGTGGGCCCCTCACTTCCAGTAGACCCCTCCTCCCACCCCCTGCAGTCCATTCCTCTCCAGTGTTCACTTCTGCTTCTACCAGATCAATGCATGCTTGCTGCTAGTCAGTGAGTCTTGTTTCTAAACCCGCTTTATGTCTGCTTTGCCTACCTTTGTAAAAGCTGTATTGCAATTAGGTAATTTAATGAACGTTTGGCAAATAGATAATATAACGAAACTGGAAAGAAGGCCAGTTGTTACACCCATGCAGACAGAGTTAAATACCTGAAGATCAAATGACCACGAATTGCTAGAAAGCACTGCTGCTGAGTTAGATGTGGGTAAGGTGACATTAAAGATTGAGAGGAAATGAACATGTCGAGAATGATTATTCACTCAGATTGCTTGGCAAGTGTGAAAATTTGTACCATTTTCAAGAAATGGGAGCTGAAAGTGGTAGGTGATGGATTATTGGGTGCGGCTTACTCAGGAAAGACAGCAGGACACGCCCTCCCGTGGACCCACACTCAAAGGAAGGGCGTTGGACCTACATCAAAGGATGGTGAGTGGATGTACTACATTTGTATGTTTTAAGTTAAAATGAAATGCTAAAGGTGCGTAGCATAATTTTATCTGATTTCTCTTTTCAACCAACTTTTTCCATTAACTGACCAACAGCAGTCCATATTGTGTCAGATAAAAGGGATCCTGATCTTACAGCCAACAGTTATTGAGCAGTTATTTGGTGCCAGACACTTACTAAGTGCCTTTTATGTAGTATCTCTTTTAATCCCCACAGTCCACCCACAAGCTAGATATTCACATCCTTTGGTGGCTCATAGGCCAGTTTTCACAAGTGCCGCTCTCTCCTGCTTCCCGCCATCTTTCTGATGCCAGCCCGTTACTGAACTGCATCTCCGTACACCAGCGCCTTGCCTCTCACAGCCTCCTGTTGAAGGTGCTGAAGTTCTCAGGTTCCTGAGAAGACCCACCCTCTGCAGGATACATGGGGAAGGAGGCTTACTGTCTCCAAAATGGCCCAAAACAGGTGCCAGAGTTCACGCCTGGATGTGAAGAAGCCAGTAAGCAACTCATGGGTGGGAGTTGTGAACAGAAACTCTAGGGCCAAAGCCCAACTCTAAGCCTTTTGCTGGGATGGAGAAAGATACTGAAGATGGGAATTTCAGCAGCAAAAACACTAGAAAGCCTACCACAGGGTCTCAGGTGGAAAGAGGAGGGAGCAGGGAGAATGGGAAGAGTTGAGGTACTTCTGGTAGCCTATGGGTCAAGCGACAGAATTTCCTGATGCAAACTGGGACCCCTGCAACAGTGGCCCCTTGTCCACTGCTTCCCTCTCTGTGGTTTCAGTTACTCTCAGTCAACCGCAGTCGAGACAGTAAGTGAAAAATTCCAGCAATGAGCAAGTCATTAGTGTGTGATATTGTTACAATCATTTTATTTTATTTGCTGTGCCTAATTTATGAGTTTAACTTTATCATAGGTGTATATGTATAGAAAAAACTCAGTCTATGTAAGATTTGGTACTATCCACGATTGTAGGCACACACTGAAGGTCTTAGGATAAAGCAGGATGACCATAAACAGAGAATAGTCACAGCAGCTTCGAGAACCACCCTGGGAAAGAACAGAGCAGGAGGCTTCCTTTGGCTAGGAGCACTGGGGAACCATGACTTCCGCAGCTCGTGAAGTTGTGGTGGGAACATTGTCAGTGGACTGTTGGAGTCGAGGCGGCCATCTGGTGTCCTTTAAGGTCAGAGAAATAAGCGTTAACAGGATGAAACAGGAAAGTCTAGAGAGCTACTAGCTGGGGAGGGAGAACATACTTGCAATAGGTATACCTGACAAAGAACTTAGATCCAGTACGCATAAAGAACTCAGTAAGGAAGAGACGAGCACCCCAATGAAGAATAGGCAAAAGAGTTGAATGAAGACCTCACCAAAGAGGGTGGAGAGGGCCAATAAATTCAACCTCATCAGTCACCAGGGAAAGGCAAATTCAAACCATAATAAGACACCACTAGGCAGACACTAAGGGGGCTAGTGCTTAAAGAGTGACCAGAGCAACCCCTGGCCAGCAGTGGTCTGGCCAGCCTGGAGCAGATCAAGAAATTTGAATCAGGGACTGAGAGAATTCTAAAACAATAATAACACCATGAAAAGTCAATCTGCTTTTGATTATCACCATGCACCAACAATTCCAAGGAATGTCAGTGATAAGTATTCCCCAGCTAGGGCCCACCCTCCACGGCCCCGCCCTGGACACTCCACTCTTGGCCAGGGTACAGAGCCACATCACTGGTGAGGCTGACACGTGGTACAACCACCTTAGAGAATTGCATGGCAGTTTCTTTTAAAAGGAAAGCAGCCTCACTTCTACATATTTACTCAAAGGAAATGAAAATTCATGACATGAAAGTTTACGTTGTTTTATTTATAAGAAACTCTAAATGGGAGACAATTCAAACATTGGTCCTTAGGTAAATGGACAGCAGCATGCACTATATCCACACGATCTGCGACCACTCAACAAGCGGCAATGAAGGGCCCAGAGAATCAGGAAACCCAACATTGTGATGCTGAGCAAAAGAAGCCACTGTTGGATTCCATGTTTTTTTTTGACAGGCAGAGTGGACAGTGAGAGAGAGAGACAGAGAGAAAGGTCTTCCTTTGCCGTTGGTTCACCCTCCAATGGCCGCTGCAGCTGGTGCACCGCACTGATCCGAAGCCAGGAGCCAGGTGCTTCCTCCTGCTCTCCCATGCAGGTGCAGGGCCCAAGGACTTGGGCCAACCTCCACTGCCTTCCCAGGCCACAGCAGAGAGCTGGACTGGAAGAGGAGCAACTGGGACAGAACCAGCGGCCCAACTGGGACTAGAACCAGGAGTACCAGCGCCGCAGGTGGAGGATCAGCCTAGTGAGCCGCGGCGCCGGCCGGATTCCATATTTTGAAGAGCAGGCAAACCTAGTCCATAGTGAGGGAAAGCAGAACGCTGGTTGCCTGTGGCATGTGAGAGTGGATGTTGGCTGGGAGGGCCTGGAGGGGAACTTCCTGATGGTCAAGTAATATTCAATACATTGGTTGCCCTAGTGGCCATGTGGGTGAACATTTTTGCCAAAACTCATCAAAATCATGTGCCTAAAATGTGCACCTTTTATTAGGTGCAAATTATACTTTAATGAGATTGATATAAAACAAGAGTTTGAAACAAAGGAAAAAAAATCCTAAGGTTGGGACCAAGATACATATTGGTTAATTCAGTGCTTTTCGTGGTCATTCCTGAGTAGAACTCCATTGGCATTGCAGAAACAGGCCTGTGAACCACACATGCAATGTCCCGTCTCCATGTGTATTTACATTAACTATGACAGAGAGCCGCACCCACTTTTATCTGCACAAAGTTCTGTTTCTTCTCTTTAAATGCTTTTGTGCTCTCTCATGCTCTAGTATTTTTAACTCCTTAAGGTGCAGCTGAAAGCTGTTACTTGAGTGACAATGACAGTGATGATCATAATAGCAGCTAATATTTATTGAACTGTGTCATGAGCATATCACCATCTGTGAGAAACGAGTCGACCGAGTTGTGTCTCTCCACAATGTGAGGCTGTGACAGTGAATTGCCCATTAATTTAGCTACAAAGCCATGCAGGCTGCAATGAGAGGCAATGACTTCAGGTCCTCTGTTGTGCTTGTAGTTGGGAATAGAATTGGTAGGTGCCCATCAAACACCAGCACATTCACTGGATGTCCACAAAAATATATGTTCACATAGACCTCTGAACACACAGTCTGTATCACATAATCCAAAAAGGGAAACAAGTTTATTGGACCAGATTGAGAGAGAGAGAGAGAATGAGAGAGAGACACCTTGGAGAAGTCCAGACATGGGCCCTGGTCTTGCAAGGGAGTGGGTGACTGGTTGGACAAGGCCTTTGGTGACCAAGGCCTAAGTCACCATGCTTTTCACAAGATGTGGTGCCCTGGCAGGGTCTGATGGGGTCTGGAAGGTTAGGTTTTCTGGGGCCCAGGACCAGGGAGGGGCTGTTCATGCTCCCTCTCCTCGCCCTCCATTGGGAAACATGTTTATTCTGAAGACACGGAGGCCCATCTTACCTCCAAGTTCTGTGTCTTGCTCTGTGCAACTCATCCTGGGGCCGCATGACTTACTTGCACGATTCTATGTTGTGCTGGCCCTGGAAGTGCTATCCCCATTTTTCAGACAAGGATGGAGGTGCAGAGAGGCGAGCTCTTGTCAAGAGTACACAGCGAGTACTGTTTGACTCAGACACTGTGTCCTTGGCACATGTTGCAGGGCCTCCAACACTGGACCAGCCTCCCCGCCACCCCCAGCCTCTGCAAAGTCTTCTGGGAGGGCTGCTCAACATGCCTGTTGCTGTGGAGCTCCCATGGGCGTCTATGCTGCCAGCATCTCTGGGCAGCTTCCCTTCCCCGCAGGAGCCTTCTGTTTTAGCTCAAGCTGCCTAGCAGTACCCACCGGCCCTGGCAGGGACCCTCCCATGGTGTGGTGAGCCCTTAGCAGCTTCCTGTACAGACTGCAACCAACTGCAATGCAGAACCTCCTCGGGATGGGGGCGGAAGGAATGACTTTTTGACCTTCACTCCTGCCTTGAGCTTTGCTCTCCCCCTTTCTTCCCTCCCCTAGGATTCCATGAAGTTTATTCTTTTGAACTGTGACCGAGACCATATATATCTCTGGGTGCATTCTAGCAGGAATCTGCGTTCCTTCCACCTCTGGGCTGCCTAGAGAAGTTATGCGGGGGCTCAAGGGACTCCTAAAGGAATTTGCTCGAGTCTGTTGGGGTCTGCATCTTGACAGCAAGTGCAGGAGTGTGGCCAGGCCTGTTTGAGGATCAAACCCAGGCAGGAGGCAAGGGGAGGGGGCTGGGGCACGAGTACAGGGAGGGAGGGAGGGCATGTGTCTGGCGGGGTGGGGAGAGGAGGAGGAGGAGGAGGAGGCTGCCCCTGATGGGGCGGGGGGTCCATCTGCAGAAGAAGAGAGAAGATAATGGAATCCAATAGCACTCCTGGAAACGAGTCATCTTGCTCCCGCCGAAACCCTTTGAATACACTAAATCCTTAATCAGAGTAGCCTCAGACGGCAATGACTACACGGAGACATGTTAGTCCAGATAAATCCTCGCAGGTTTCAAAGACCTGAAGGGCCCAGGCACTTCCCGGAGCAGCGGCTGCCCTCTGCCCTCTCCTGCGTGATGGCATTGTGGAGCGCGGCTCTCACCACGCGTGGTGTAAGTTGACATTGACAGCTGTAGCACTCTCACGCCGACTCTGGGGGATTATTAGCTTTGAAGCTATTTGGCCTTGAGCGGTGGATTCCTTTTTGAGCTCACACTGGCTTATAATATCTGAGAAGGCTTGCTCCACTCTGGCCCCAGCTTGAATTAGGGGAAGAGGCCACTTTCCAACTTGGATCTGATAGCAGCAGGAACAGAATGGGGAATATTATCCATTTCTGATGGGCAACAGAGTTAGTGTTCTCCGATCCCCCCGGGGCCTTCGCACCGAGTTTCCATTTGAACATCAGAGTTGGAGCCGCAGCCCAGGCTCGCCTTGGCCTGTGGTCACGGCGCAGCCTCGCAGCTGCACACGGGGAGGACTCCAGCAATACAAGCGCCTCCTGGCCTCTAATCTGTTTGCTATTAGGCTGTTGGAAACCCCTCAGTGGGGCTGGGAGCTGATGTCAGAAGAGGATAATTCAAGTGCATGTTTAAAAAAAAAAAAAAAAAAGAAGCTAAAAAGCAAAGTTCCCTCTGTGATCATTTGCATGCGGCGAGTGCCAGCGTCCGGGGGGATTAATTAGCTGAACAAAGATGGGGACGGGACTGCCAATGAACTGGCAACAGAGTGTGACCCAAAGAGCTTCTGACCTGCTTGTGATTTCTTCTCAGGGTTTAAGCAAAATTTCCTCCCGGGAAAGGAGCCCTCCCAGCCTCCTCCCCACAACCCCTCACCGCCCCCAGCCCCCAGCCTAGAAGTCTTTTTTCCACAAAGAGAAAAAAAATGTGTTCATCACTCCCCACCAGCTCCGCCAAGGTCCACCAAAGCAGCCTGGGCAGCGGGGCATGACACTCTGGGTTCCACTGGAGAGCATTGGCCAGGCTAGACGGCGGGTCTGGGAGGAATTCCGGTGAATCCTCTCATGAGAGAAACAA